GAGAACCTAGATCAGTTCCTGTGTCCCTGGTCTAGCATTACAGAACCCTTTTTTATTTTTAAGCTGAATAATAGCAACAGACAATAAATGTAGCCACTTCTACAGTGTGACTTTGCATTTGTATTTCAGTTCTGAGAGCCATCTAATTTAAAACTGTTAGCTAGGAGACAAAACTAGGGGAATCGGGTATCTTATTGTTAGAGAAATCATTGAGTTTGTATGGTATATTCCCAACTGGGAACAACAGCTCTTCTTCTAAACAGTGGAAGAATTTAAAACCAGATAAATTATAACGGGACGAGATCTCAATTATAGGTCAAACTGAAGCTGAATAAAAAGACTAGGTAATACCTGAAAAAAGCAGAAAATGAGTAAGTATTACTGTGATTACTAAATAGTTGTAGGAAATTAACAGCTATCACAAAGACTTCTTCTCTCTTGCTTATATCAGCTATCATCATATGTTAGAGCAGACAGCTTTACATAAAGCCTGTTATATAGGAGCATTATAGTCAGATAAATCAGATTATACTCTCAGGTCATGCCCAAGTAGTAATAAAGAAAAAAATGCTTAGACTACTGGGGCAGAGGTCCCAGAAAATCAATCACTGCTTATTGAAATATGCCCTAATAATGAACTCGGATGAGAAACCAAACAATTTTATAAAATCACAATGTGAGGGGCACACAAGTTATAAGATAGTACACCCTAAGGTTTACCGTAAAGGGGGGTGGACAGAAAGACAGAGAAGCTCAAAGAAATTCAGGGAAACAAAATGGTACAATCTAATAAAATTCCAAGTGAATCTTTGGTTCTGAGCATCCAATTAGACACAATTTTGTCTGAAAAAGCCAGAACCATTAATTGGCCAGTGCAAGACTATTTGTAGGAGGGAGACAAAGCAAATTAATCCTATCTGTGTGTGGAATGAGAAGGCACTTGTACACGTAACAAATTGTCCTTTTTTGCGATTAAACTGCATTCATTCACAAAAGAAAAAACATGGAGGGATAAAGCCCAAACTCCAGCCCACCCCCCGCACCTCCGTGGTGGTGACAGCATGGCCTGGGGCATGGCAGCCTGCAGATCATGGCTCTGCCCCAGCAACAGACCATGCTGTCACTGCAGCAAGATGCCAGGGGGGTGCTGCGGTGCAGCTCTGCACCATGCTGCGTGCCCTGCCAGCAGGGCCAGCGCTATAGCTACCCCAAAATTGCACATAGCCACACACGTCTGTGCCAGTATCCATGGAAACCCTAGGGCCGCGCTATCACAGGGCAGCTGCTGCAGGGGTCTCCATGGAAACTGGCTCAAGCTGTCCAGGCAGGGGCTGCTGGGAAATGGAATCCATTCACAAAAGAAAAAACACGGAGAGGCAAGACCCAAACTTCCCTGCCACCCCGCTGCCTTGGTGCCACTTGTATTGATCTACCCCATGGTCCTGGTGGTCCATACACTACCTACCAGTAGTTACATGATCCCCCACTCCCCTCTGTACTCTTGAGCCTGGACCAGCAGCTGCAAATTAAGAAGAGGTTCTGCAGCTGGAGCAGCAGCAGCAAATGTTAAGTTTGCAACTGAGGACCTTGGCACCTCTTAATACTTTAATATTTCAGGATAACATTCATCTTATTTATTGTTGCCTTCCAAAAACCCATCACATGGCAGATGCTGCATGCCAGATCTGCCCCCTGAGCTACACAGCATTCTGGGTAATATTTAAGTAATAACAGAAATCTCCCACAGAAGATTTTGTAGCCTGTAGTGGGGAAGCCAAGAAGGTGGTTTTGGGAGTACGGGCCAAAACTCATCTTCTTTATTCCCTTGCAGGACTCGTAAAAGAGCAGAAATAGAAGAATAGAATGAAGAATAAAGACATTGATAGAAGATAAAAGAAGATTATAGAATATGTTATAGAATACAGATATAATAAAAATACATTAGAATATAGATAGAGTAGTATATAGACAGACTAGTATAGATACAATATCGAATAAATATAGATAGCATAGTGTAAAAAATAGACATTTTCTGCTTATTTGCAGTTATTTATTAAAAATTTATGTAAGTAAGGAAGCAATAAAGAATTTTATGTTTGTATCCTGTATTTTCTTACTGTGTTTTATATGGGGCATTTTTTTCTTTTTAAGGTAAATGCTTTTAATTTTTTTTAATTATTTATTTTTCTTAAGGTTATTTATTTTTAAGAGCTATTTATTTTTTTTAATGTGTTTTATAATGAGGTTCTTTTCTTTTTAAGGAACATAATAATCATGTCATGGGAAAAAAAATTAAAGTTGAAATAAAGATTTCAATTGATACAGTTCCTTCCGGATGTATCGTGTTTCCTTTCATAGGCGGATTGGCATGGGTGGGAGTCCATGCAGTTTGGGGGTGTGGGAGGGGATGAATGTGACTTGGCATTGGGGATCCCTGCAGCCAGCTATGCTTTGTGGGGAAGAAGAGGGGAAAGGGAAATGCATTTTGGGAGAGAGGGGATTACTGGTTTGCCAGCACCACCTCCCGTAACTGAGTACCAAAAGAGCTCAGCAGGATGGATTGGTAAGTGGCTCTCCCTGCTGTAATTTACTGTGAACTGCGCGCTGAGCTTAATTTGATTTAAAGTCCATCACCTGTAAACATTGATGCATCATTTTTATTTTAATAAACCTATTTAATTTAATGAGGATTAAGCCCTGTCAAGTATACAAGCACCCAGAGAGTGCATGCATTCTTTAGGGCAGGGGTGACTAACCTTAAGTAGCATGGGCAGCCTGTGTGGCACATGGCAGATCAGGGAAGAGAGAAGCAGCACAGTGGCAGATAGGGTAGAAAGCAGAAAACAAAGCACAGGGAAGGAAGCACGTTGGGCAGGGGAAAGGGATTGGAGTGGTAATACTACTGTGGCACTTGAGGAAGTACTATTTGGGGCACAACTGCCAAAAAGGTTGGCCTGCTTTAGAGGAAACCAGCAATCCTACCTGAGGAATATGTTACTTTTTAGTTATCTAAATGTTAGTTTAAGGAAACAGAATGAATAAAAAGCCAGTGTTACATACAAACATAAGGACAAACTTGCTGTAAAACTTCAGGCTGACCATAGGTGGCACCTAGAAGTGGATCCTAAAACTATAATACAAAGCTGAATTCTTGTTTGGATGAGGAGATGCTGAAAAGAAATAGGCTCTGGGTATTTTAAATGGTACCTTACTGCATGTTGAATTTAAGGAGAATTGTCAATGCAAACTGGAGTGTCGTGAATAGGTGACACATTAAATTGAGAATGGAACTGCAGTAAGTTACAGGAGGTTTAGATTCTGAGAGAGAGACACAATTTCAAATGGAAATTTAAGGGGTGGAGGGGGGGGTGTCAGAGTTTATTAAAAGCTTGTAATCTAAACACATGAGTGTATTGTACAGTGGAAAGTTGGATGTACTCAAGTGTATGAACATTCATTTAACTGCATAGGATACAAGCAAGAGTGGTATAGCTAATAATGGAGATTCCTTTGTGTCAAGTAGCAGACGTCTGTTTTAAAGACCACCTTATTACTTTCATTCCACTTCATTTCTGCCCTAAAATATGCTTGTATCACATTGCAACCTCTGAGCTAACCCAAATGCAATGATGCAAACCTAGTCCTGACTAGAAACTGGTTTGTGGGTTTAGCAAGCATATAGACTATGTCTGTAGAACAGAAATACCCTTTCAGGCCAAGAGATGGATTTAATTACCCTAACTTATATCTCATCTTTGCCTATTCCTGAAATATTTTTCTGCTATGTAGATTACTTTGTCTGTTTGTAAGAGAAGCATTTGGCTGGGACTTTCAAAGGAGACAGATATATTCTATTGAAATTTTAATTGGATATAGATGTCTAAATTCCTGTGTCCTGAATTTCACCCTTAACGTAAAATGAAGATGCAAGATGTCAAGTTACAATGTCCTGTTCAACTACAGAGTAATGATGAAACCCTGAGATTCATTTTCTTTGCAAAATAGAGAACATTTGCAAAGTTGTCAAAGTAATTTCTTTATTATTTTAATTCCATAAAAAGTCAGTTATAATTAATTCTGTTTTAGGTGGGAAATTTTATATCAGAGATATTGGAAAGTACCTGTGTTTAAGGTCAGAAATATCTTAACTTCATGATTCGTATTTGTTTGAAACAGCTTTATTCTGCACTCAGTTCCTGTCTGTTCAAGGGAAGTAGCTCTCAAGTTGTTGCTGCCTTTTCCTGTTGTTTAATTAGATAAATGTTACAACTTTCATAGGAAGATTTTATCTAGGTTTATTTCCTGACTTGAATTTGGGACTGCAAAGTCTGACTACAAGAGCTTATTGCGTTAATGATTTCATTACATTACAGGAGTTGAAAAATATGGGCATATTTTCACATTTAATTAACATGATCGACCAGATGGAAAGTGAGCTTCATGGCAGATAAGCTGAGCAAGGATGTTTTGCCCATGGTGTTTTAAGTCTTGTTTTAAAATTCCTTCATTATCTAACCCAGTTCTTGCACCTACAGATTTGCTTGGCTTGAGCTATTAAATAGAACAGAAGAAAACTGCTTCAGAAACATGGTGTAATTGTTGCTTTAGCACGATGAGAAGGCTCGATAATGTTGTTAAATGGTATGCATCAGATGCTCAGAAATAAACAGTGGTCAATTAAAACATTCATCATCTGGGTTATCGAGAAGCTGTAGTAGTACAGTTACTTGAACTAAAAATTCATTAACCTTATCTTCAGTGAGCTCGATCATCTACATTATAAATGATAAATGTTTCTATTTGCAGGAAGTTCTATACTCAGCCAGCTTTCTTTTTAATATTGTCTAATGGATAAATACGTCAATAACAGAACTTTGAACAGCATAATCACTGAAGAAGAGGAACATTGCTTTTCAGTGTGTACATAAATTATGATTTCCTTTTTATTGTCATTAAAAATATATATATAAAATACTGATTTTCTTTATTGCCTTCCAAAGGAAGATACCGCGTGATTAAAGGCATAATTTCTCCAGTCAGTGACAACTATAGAAAGAAAGGTTTAGCTTCTGCAAAGCACCGGATAGCAATGGCTCAGCTCGCAGTGGAGACATCAGACTGGCTTAGAGTGGATCCATGGGAAAGTGAGCAGGAGACATGGACAGAGACAGTAAAAGTGCTGAGGTAATTATGCAGGTTTTGTTTGTTTAATGGAGTTGCCAGAGGCTGCAGCAGCTCACCAGCAGCAGCACCTGTTGTACCTGAACTTGAACAGAAATAATGCCAAAGAGCTGGTGAGCAGTTTGGTATAAGATAATGTACAAGTTGGGTAGACCCTTCAGACAGTCCTCTCTGAACTGAATCTTTTCTGCTGTGTCCCTTCCCATTCTTTTTGTTGATTAAGATCTTTTTTTATCTCAGGTCCTTAAAAAAGATTTTTTATTTCATTTAGTATGGATTTGCTGGACAATCTCAACAGAAACATGCTGCAGTAGCATTCCAGATGCATTTTACATTGCTATTCTGGGTTGGCCTAATGCTTGAGAGCAACATCAAGACTCATTTCATCTGAAGTAGAAGGGCTTTCCATCTTTGCTTCAGGAGTGTTTCCATCTTGGCCATAAATAAAGAAGTGTAGTCCTCACTGCATAGATTTACAAAGTACTGCTACTTGGATGCAGCCTCTCTAATGAAGAATCCTACTGTGCTCTTATTCCTGTGGAACCTTTTATGAAGCAGAGCAATCCAAACACTCCCACACATCTTAAAGTATCCAAAGTTGGAGGGCTTTGGCATGTATCTTCCTCCATATTTTATCTCTTTGTATAGGCCTTGCTTTTGTTGCCTATTGAAGTTGTTCTGGTTTCACTTTTTTTATTTTATCCACCTCCAAGAGGTAGACACCCTCTCAAGTGAAGATTACCTTATAATTCTACTTCTCTGAAGATTGGTTTCTGGCAAGATTTTCTCTCTCACGCACCTATCTGTCTACCTGTCTCTCTCCTTGGTCTTTGAAAGGGATCTTTCTTGAGGTGGTGTTTTATACTTATTTTCATTGTTCTCTTTAAGCCATCAACTCTCTACTTTGTTCTTGTGATTGGCTGATATTTTCTTTTCGCCTGATCAAAGATTACTTGGAAGGTTCCAAGTGAAACAGATAAGGTATGTATGTGCTTGAGAAAAACAGAGATGGAATTATATGAGCCCACCAGTAATGAAGTGATATGCCCTATCTGCTGATCTTGGGGAGTTGTGTGCGCTAAGAACAAGTAGCAAGAACTAACCAGAGTGATGAGTTGAGAGAAACAAAACTACTATGTAAGTAAGTACAAGGAGCAATGGTCTCAAGCTGCAGCAAGAGCAGTTTAGGTTACATATTACCCTCTCACTAGGAGGGTAGTAAAGCATGGGAACAGGTTATCCAGAGAAGTTGCAGAATCTCCATCCTTGGAGGTTTCTAAGACCCAGCTACACACAGCCTTGGCTGGAATGGTCTATCTTTAAGGGGTGGTCCTGCTTTGAGAAGAGAGTTATACTAAATGACTTCCTGAGGTCCCTTCCAACCTTAGTGTTCTATGATCCTATGATTCTATAATTCCTTATGCAACTTGATAATAGTTCCATCTCCTTGGCATATTGGAAACATCTCTGGACTGTTTATCTGCATTCAATTCAGTGATGGCAGGAGGAAGACAAGCCAACCTTAAATCTAGAAATGTCTTTTTAAAGAGGACTTTTAATAGTGCACAGAAGCTGCTCAGGGAACAAATTTGCTGCCACAGTCTCTTCATTTTCACATGCAGAGATGTGGGCCAACACCCTTTATGCATATGGGCCTGATTAAAAAATTGGAGATCCAAATTGAGGTTAGCTGAAAACTAGAATGCTTCGCCTTTCAGCACGTAGGTTCTCCATGACACTGGCATGCACTTGTCTGCATGAAGTTAAGAATCTTTAGAGATTTATGTATCCCCCTAACATCAAATACTAGGGCTTGCATAGTCATATAACTGGAGCATTTATTCTGAATGGCCTGCCAAGTCTATACATTAGTCCCATGTTTCCAAAAGCAAAACAGTAATTTTATTTGCCTCAGTTCTGTGTTGTCTGACTTGAAAACACTATTGGAGGTTTTTTGGGTTTTTAAAAAAAAATTTAGGTGAGTTCCCACCCCTCAAATTAGGCAGAGATTGAGATACCCAGAATCTCGTCGTTCTTGAAAACTAAAATATTTAGGTTCTATGTGTAAGTTTGAGAAATTAAGTAATATTAGGCATTGAAAGTTTGAGTGTTGTGCTGATAATGTCCTCCCTCCCACACACATCCTTACTAATAAATACATTCTAGTAGATGCTGTCATAGCACAGTTTTGCCTTTTGTTCTTTTATTGTTTGAGAGCAAAGAAATTGTAGAATGAATACACTGACAGCCACATCTTAGGTAGGATCAGTTTTAGCCTGTATTTTGATGGGAGTGCTCCAAGGAAAACAAATGTTAGGGAATGAGATCTTTCTCCCTTTGACTGGAGCCAGTAATCTGACCTGTTATACGTTGTTCAAACACATTATTGCTCCTACGCATTGCCCAAAACCTCCTCTTGTTTCCAAGCCTTTAAAATAGGACAAACTTCACAGCTATTATTTTACAAAGCAAACCTGTGGTATCCACAGATATTTTGGTTACAAAGAAACAAGTACAGATTTTTAATCCTTCCATTCTTTGGCTTAAACTTTCAACATCTGAGTTTCTCTGTTCTCCTGCATCCTTCCTCATATGCAGCAGAATAATAAATACAGTGAAAAGCTAAAGGACTGGGAAATGCCTTGCACTTCCCTCCTTCAGCCAAGTCCTGTAGGGAGCTCTCTGCCCTATCTTTACAAAACTGTTATTTTATCTTGCTCCCATTCCAATATGGGGAATTACGTTGTTGGTCCGACAGTGTCAGCTGAGTGAGGTATTATTCAAATCTAGTGCCAAACTAGATTGTGTTATTCCTTAAGCAACTGGCTTTTTCCTCCAGAAAATCAGCTGGATTTGGTGAAGGGATTATAAAGGATTTGGTCTTGCAAACTTTCTGTATGCACAGTTTTCACTGAAGTCCATGCTGTTCATTAGATTGGGCTTTTAGTTTTTAAGGCACATTGCGATCTTTCAGAATAAAAGGCACTGTATAAATGTAAAGGATGCATGTATGTATTGTCTCCATATGCTGCAAACGGGCTCTGTGCATTTCTACCAGGACAGTGCCCCTCCAAGCTACCTCTAGATGGAATTATGGAGAAATTTCACCAGTTATTCAGGTGGAGACATCACTTTTTCTTCAAGGCAAAATGTGCTCATTTTGGTTTCCTTTTACCCATCTCAAAATTTATAGAGCGCTAATAAGTAAACATTTATTGTGCCAGTATCTCAAACTTTATAAGTAAATCTTTGTTAAATGCTAAAATGTAAGCCTGTTAATAAAATGAAAAAGTGAAAAAGGCATAAAATCAAGAATGACGGTAACACACTTCATCTCAAAGCAGTCACTTAGCTTTCCCCTCCTTAGCTGAACTGAGCAACAATAATTGATTACATACTTTATGTTAAATCCTGTCCTTTGCACATAGAGGTGGTGTTTCAAGGAATGCTATGTCTAAATATTTTATTAATATTTTAAATACCACAGTCTTTTTTTAATTAAGACATAATGAGTACCTATACACATGCCTGACACCTGCTCTGATGTGTTCTAATTAAATCTAATCAGTACACTCCAGCAGCTTTGGCATCACGTGTGTTCAGCAGCCCCCACCACCATTTGAAGTATGGGACACTGAATACAGAAGATGCTGAGGGTGCTTTAATTAGAGCAGCTCTTGGGAACCACTTTAATTAAAGTGCTCTTCCCCACCCCAGAGCACACACAAACATGCCCAATAATAATAAAGCTGCATCAGTTTACATATGACCTATACTATTATCCTGTTGCATTTTGTATTATTATCCTTATCACTAAATGAAAAAG